AAGGAACATGGATGAATTCATGGATGGCCATCAGTCTTGAAGACTTATTGTTACTTCGAAGTCGAGGAAATATGTTCCCAGAACAATAGTGGGAAGAAGGATATGTCTCATCTTCTGCCGGTAAGGACCAAAGAGGCACCTGGTGAATACTGTGAGAAATAAAACTGAAGAAGTATTAATCAAGAAAATTTTAGAGTGCGCAGAAATGGATAGATTGACTTTAGAGATTAAAGAGAAAGAAAACTCAGTTTACTTTAGAACATGGGATAACTTTTATCAATGGCTAGAAAAACAAATCAGAGAGAAAGGATTGTGACATGTAATTTTGAATACATATTTGTAAGAAGTACGTCATGGAGTGATCAATCAATATTGCTTACGATAATTAACCATATCTATTACTGTTATCTGTTATTGTATATCTATTACTCCTATTTAAATATATGTACCCAGGCAATATGATGTTTGCTAAATGTTGAAATTGTTACCTAAAGAAACTCTAGCCCCAACCCCAACCCTGACCCCCAACCCTAATTCCAACCCTGACCCCATTCTATTCCCAACCCTATAAAAACTAATAAAACTTTTTTTTTTAAGAAATAAAATGTTGGGCCATGATGGGTCTTGACCTGATCCAGCAGGACTGCTGCTATGTTCTTGAGTAACCCATAATGGTGCTGAGCATTATTTCCGTCCTAGTTTAATTAAAGCATGAGTTGCTTCCAGATTTGATTGAAAGTTGAGGAAGAGAGACTTCAGTGCACATAGAGAGACAAATTGCATATTGTGTCACATCTCCATATAGATGGTATCCAGCAGCTCTTTTTTAGCTGCAGTAGTCCTTCATACGCTATTATACCTCTGTTCAGATTCATGCCCGGAAATTAAAAAGCAAGAGAAGATGTCAGTTGTCCAGTATAACTTAGCATGAAGGGAGCTTTCATGATTGTCTACTTCAAGTGGCCAACAACATGATCCAGCTAGCTTAATAAACATGGTTATTTTCAGAGTCTCCATGAATCTTATTCTGCAGGTAGTCTTCCACTTACAACAGGTCATTTAGTGACCATTCAAAAGTACAACGGCACTGAAAAAAGTGACTTGCGACCGCTTTTCACACTTACGACTGTTGCAGCATACCCATGGTGACGTGATCAAAATTTGCTTGGCAACCGACTCATATTTATGACGGTCGCAGTGTCCTGGGGTCACGTGATCCCCTTTTGTGACCTGACAAGCAAAGTCAATGGGGAAGCCAGATTCACTTAACCACTGCGTTACTAACTTAATTGATTCACTTAATAACTGGGTCAAGAAAGGTCATAAAACGGGGCAAAATTCACTTAACAAATGTCTCATTTAGAAACCGATATTTTGGGCTCAGTTGTGTACTTTCTTTTGAGCTACTGCACTCCCTTGCAATTTTCTTGCATTTTTTGAATCTCCCAAGGACTCGGGGTAGAGACACTGTTGTGCTTTTATCTTTTTCTTAAAAAGTGTAATCTATATAAAGGGGGTTCTTGACTTACGACCAATCGCTTAGCAACCCTCCCAGTTGCAGCCAGCTCATTGCATTTTGGATGCTCGGTTGTCAACCCACATTAACAGCTGTTTGCCGTGTCCTTTGGTCACATGACCACGATTTGCAATGTGTTTTGCCAGGTATGTCTAGTTTAATGAAGAGAAGGACGAGGGGGGACATGATAGCAGCTTTCCAATATCTCAGGGACTACCACAAAAAAGAGGGAGTCAAGCTATTCCCCAAAGCAGCTGAAGGCAGGACAAGAAGCAATGGATGGAAACTAATCAAGGAGAGAAGCTACCTAGAACTAAGGAGAAACTTCCTGACAGTTAGAACAATTAACCAGTGGAACAACCTGCCTCCAGAAGTTGTGAATGCTCCAACACTGAAGGCTTTTAAAAAAGACTGGACAGCCATTTGTGTGTAATGGTATAGGCCAGTGATGGCAAACCTTTTAGAGACCAAGTGCCCAAACTGCAACCCAAAACCCACTTTTTTATCGCTGGGTGCCAGGTGGACATGGCCCGCTGGATGGGCATAGCTGTGGTGGTCATGGCAGATTGGGTGGGTGTGGCCAAAGTAGGCGTGATCATCTCAACATTGCTCGTGGGGAGGGATGCCTGTGGGGGCCGGGCAAGGTTGGGGGAGATCCAGGGGGTCTCTGGCAGGTGGGGTGGTGGGCAGGAGGCTTGTCCTACAGGGTGAGGTGCGAGGCAGGGCGGGGGTGTCATTGTCACAGGGCAAGGTGAGGCAGGGGCCGGGGCGGCTGCTGCCTGACACCATCGGCCCCTGCACACAGAGGCCAGCGAGCGCATGGGTGCTGGGATGCATCCAGCCATGTGGGACCTCGGCGAGTTAGTGGGCGGCTGGTTGAAGAGTTACAGTTGCCATCTCTGGGGCATGGCAACCGTGCCCACAGAGAGGGCTCTGAGTGCCGCCACTGGCACACATGCCCTAGGTTCACCACCACTGGTATAGGATTTCCTGCCTGAGCAGGGGGTTAGACTAGATGACCTCCAAGGCCCCTTCCAACATTATTATTATTATTATGGATCATTGCACAGTCAGCCAGATGTTCAGACTGGATTTGGCATTTTGTCTACCTATCGAGTCCTTACCCAGGAATAATAATAATAATAATAATAATAATAATAATAATAATAATAATAATAATAATAACCAATAGCAGAGGAACAAAAGATCAACTCCTAATAGACAAAATGATCTTGGAAAACTGCAAGAGAAGGAAGACCAACCTGAATGTGGCATGGATTGACTACAAAAAGGCATTTGACTCTCTGCCACATGATTGGATAATCAAGTGCCTAGAAATAACAGGAGTAAGTAGAAACATCAGAAAATTTGTGCAAAGATCGATGGCACAATGGAAGACACAGTTGCAGATCAATGGTGAAAGCTGGGAGAGGTTAATATCAAGAGAGGAATATTTCAAGGAGATTCATTATCACCATTACTATTTGTTATTGCACTGTTTCCTCTGTCAACAATACTGAATAACTCAGGACATGGTTATCAAACATCAAAAACATCTGCTAGACTATCCCATCTCCTTTACATGGATGATCTGAAGCTGTATGGAAAAACGCCATCTGAAATAGAATCGCTGCTCAACACTGTCCGTATATATAGCCAAGATATTGTAATGGAGTTTGGCTTGGACAAATGTGCCACACTTACTATCAAACAAGGAAAAATAATGAAAACTGAAGGAATCAAGATGCCCCACGAAAATAACATTAAGAGTCTGGATGAGGAAGAGTACTACAAATACTTGGGTATCCTTCAAGCTGACAACATCAAGCACACTGAAGTCAAGAAAAAGATTAGAGGTGAATACATCAAGAGAGTGAAGAAGATCTTAAAGTCCAAACTCAATGGAGGAAATACCATAAAGGCAATCAACACCTGGGCAATCCCAGTCATTAGGTACACAGCTGGAATAGTGGACTGGACTCAAGCAGAACTAAAAGCAATGGATAGGCAGACCAGAAAAATAATGACAATGAATCATGCCCTTCATCCACGCAGTGACATTGATAGACTTTATCTACCAAGGCAAATAGGTGGGCGTGGAATGCTACAAGTACATCAGATGGTTGAAGAAGAAAAAATGGCTTTGGAAGAATATCTGAAGAACAATGATGAAGATGCACTGAAATTAGTATATCAGGAAGGCTTACTAACTACTGGAGAGACCAAACTGGCCTACAAGAAAGACCAAATGAAGAACAGAATAGAGGCATGGGAAGACAAAGCACTACATGGCCAATACATTAAAAAAATAGCTGGGAAAGCAGATAATAATAAAACCTGGCAATGGCTAAGAGCAGGAAAATTGAAGAAAGAGACCGAGGGACTAATTCTGGCTGCACAAGACCAAGCCTTAAGGACAAATGCATACAAAGTCAAAATTGAGAAGACAGCAACAGACAGTAAGTGCCGCCTATGCAAAGAAGCTGAAGAAACAGTGGACCACTTGGTAAGCTGTTGCAAGAAGATTGCACAAACTGATTACAAGCAGCGGCATGACAAAGTAGCAACAATGGTGCATTGGAAGATCTGCAAAAAATATCATTTGCCTGTAAGCAAAAACTGGTGGGATCATAAAATAGAGAAAGTCATAGAAAATGATAAAATTAAACTGCTCTGGGACTTCAGAATTCAAACAGACAAGCACCTGCAACATAACACCCCAGACTTAACAATTGTCGATAAGAAAGACAAAAAAGTCTGGATAGTGGACGTGGCAGTGCCTGGAGACAGCAGAATAGAAGAGAAAGAACTGGAGAAGATAACAAAATACAAAGACCTACAAATAGAAATAGAAAGACTGTGGCAAAAGCAAGCAAGGGTAGTACCAATAGTCATAGGCTCCTTGGGCGCAATCCCAAAACAACTGGAGCACCACTTGAACACCATTGGCATTGACAAATTTGCTATTAGTCAATTGCAAAAGGCGGCCTTATTAGGAACTGCTTCCATCCTGCGACGATACCTATAATACCATCAAACATCTACTTCTGCCTATCCCAGGTCCTGGGTAAGGACTCGATAGGTAGACAAAATGCCAAATCCAGTCTGAACATCTGGCTGACTGTGCGATGATTGATAATAATAATAATAATTATTATTATTATTAAACTCGTGTTTACTTTTGGTGACCAGCCAAAATACAATGAATTCGCTTACTGAGGACAATGAATTCACTTAATAACCACGGTGATTCACTTAATGGCCAATATTAAAAAATTGTAAAATCAGGTTGGTCACGTGATAACCCTTGTAATGATTGGCATGACTTACAACCATCATTCTGGGCTCAATTACAGTCATAAATTGAAGACTACCATGATCTACGTACCTGTATTTTTTTTTTATGTGCTCATTAGGGTAGCTTTCCTTTCTTCTTCTGCCATCCCCAGGACCTGATGCAGCATAATTATCCTTTGTTTTGCAGGTGAACATTATCCCAATCATAGCCAAGGCTGACACCATTGCGAAAAACGAGTTACATAAATTCAAAAGCAAAATCATGAGTGAGCTGGTCAGCAACGGGGTCCAGATCTACCAGTTTCCCACGGACGAAGAAACAGTGGCTGAGATTAACGCCACCATGAGTGTAAGTCTTTAACTTCCTTTTTATCTTCTAAACGTACCTTTGGATAGATCAGGGGTCTTCAAACTTGGCCCTTTTATGACTTGTGGACTTCTCAGGCACGCGTGCCTGGCTGAGGAATTCTGGGAGTTGAAATCCACAAGTCATAAAAGGGCCAAGTTTGAAGACCCCTGGGATAAATTGTTATTTTATATATTTAAAATGAGTAAAAATAATGAACTCTGGGATATACAAATAGCCTTTTTTATTGCTAAGCTTTTGTCAACTAGCTGTTGACATCATCAGAGCAATGATGTCAACAGGTAGTTGACGAAAGCTTAGCAATAAAAAAAAGCTATTTATCTCGGAGTTCATTATTTTTACTGATTTTAAATGTCTACACCTGGGATTCCAGTATTTAGAGTTATCAAAGATGTGTGTGTGTGTGTGTGTGTGTGTGTGTGTGTGTTTTCGTAGATTTTCACGGGTATAGGTATGCAGGTCTTGGCGTATTCGGGTCTTTTCCCGTGTAAGATTGAGAGTATCTTGGCGACGTTTCGACGTTCCCACTCGTCATCTTCAGGCTGGGGTCTTCGGCTTCGTGCACACACACACACACACACACACACACACACACACACTTCTGAAGCCAATACATCTTGAATTTTACACATTCTATCTGTGTTCGTGTGTATAAACTGGAGGAGCACAATGAAAAACTGGGACTAAACGTACATATAAAGGAGACCAAACTAAATACAGCGGGTGCAAGAAGCAGATGTAGACTTGACAGCCAAGATATCAAACACAGCTTCTCCTTTTAGGATCAACCCTCAACAGAAAAGAAAGAAGCAGCCACAAAATACACCACAGGCAGAATCATTATTAATTCCCTGAGTCTGTTGTGAAGATTTACTATTTGACCATGTGGACCGATCATTTGGCCAGTCTGTGGAGGGAGAGAGTGCAAGTCCTTGACTTACAATCGTTCATTTAGTAACTCTGAAGTTACAACAGCACTGAAAAAAGTGAATTAGGAACATTTTTCCACGACCATTGCAGCATCCCCATGGTCACGTGATCAAAATTTGGATGCTTGCCAACTGACTCATCTTTACGACGGTTGCGGTGTCCCAGGGAGGGGGTCATGTGGTCCCCTTTTGTGACCTTCTGACGAGCAAAATCAATGCAGAAACCAGATTCGCTTAACAGTCATGTTACTAACTTAACAACTGCAGTGATTCACTTAACAACTCTGGCAAGAAAGTTCATAAAATGGGGCAAAACTCACTGAACAACTGTCTTGCTTAGCATGGAAAATTTTGGGCTCAGTTTTGGTCGTAAGTCGAGGGCCACCTGTTATAGCCTTTTCTTCAGTCGCTCCGAAGGACATAGTAGCAAAGCAGCTGAAATGTATAAAGGTGATACCTGAATGAATAAGGTGAAGTTTTGGTTACCTGAAAGAAATACTTTGAAATTGGTTCGGGTCATGTACTTCCATGTTGTACAGCAGGGAAGCTGGCACTTTCAGAGGGAGACTGAGAGCAGGCAACAAAATACCACAAAAATACCAGTTGCAATTATCCCACGGATTGTGGGCCGAAGTCTTGACCCACCCATATACTCAGTTCTTAACCCAGCTTATGAAAATGGATACGGCTGCCAACGTGCTCAGAATGGAAACCGGCTCAGAACTGAAAACTGCTGGATCAAAAAGGCACCTGGAAGACTCTCCAGAGACACAAATGTCACTTCATCTGCATTTGGGGTTTCTGTTCAAAATATACAATATCCTAGAAGGGGGAGAGAAAAAAAACCCAAATATATACTTTATGGCTTCCCTGACGAATCTGGAGATGTCACTTCTTTAGGCAGAGGTTGTTTACTGCAAATTCCCAAACCTCCAGTGCGGTTTTGAGGTTTCGGTTTGAAGCTTAAGAAACGGAGGAAATTAATTGTAGAGCAGATCAGGCTTTGAGGAGTATGTATGAGAGAGAGATGGAGAGTGTGTGTAATTTGAAACTGCAGCCAGGAATTAATTGCGTGCTTAAAAAATATATATATCAGTGGCTTTGGGCCAACTCTAGTCTTCTGGGTGTTGTCACAAACCTTTCTAATTAAATATATATGAATATATATATGAATGTGTGTGTGTGTGTGTGTGTGTGTGTGTGTATTCTTGCCAAAGAGGTCAGAGAGTGTTCACATAAAGAATAATAGATTCAATGAAAGTTTTCAGAAAACAGTCAAACTTTTATATAAAGTGACAATCAAAGTGAAATCTCTTTAAAAGGCAGTGTAGCAGTAGCAGTTCTCTTTAAGTATGCAAGTGAACAACATGTTGAAACTGTGAGTTAAAAAATAGACAATGTGGAGGCCAGGTGTGGCGCATGATGCATCATTGGGAAGGTCCTTGCACATTTTATTTCACTTAATGTATCCCGCCTTTATTATTTTTAAAAACAACCGATGCAAGTGGGGTCCCACCCAGACCCCTCCCAAATTATGTGCATTAGTAATCTATGTGGTAATGGAATATTAAAAATCCTGAAGACTGGTTGGGTCCCTCTTTTCTGCAACATTAACAAAACGACAAGCAACAAACAAAAACACGGTCTGAGCCATGCAAACTTTAATCGTTGCTACTGACATTTGCAAGAACCCGCCCAAAGGTTTTAAATCAAACCATCTTTGGCACTTCCAATCATATGACATACAGACTGCCACTTATATTATGCTTACAATTTCTAGCACTCCTGTTTGTGTGGCTGAACTGTGACTTTTGACAAAATACTGTGCCTGATATATTTTCTCCTTTTCTCTGTTGCTCCTTCCATTTCCTTCCTTCCTTCCTTCCTTCCTTCCTTCCTTCCTTCCTTCCTTCCTTCCTTCCTTCCTTCCTTCCTTCCTTCCTTCCTTCCTTCCTTCCTTCTTTCCTCCCTCCCTCTCTCATACATATACATGCAGCTTCAATATACATACTGCTGATCTGTGGATTCTCCCTCAAATATTGCATTGGCTAGCTGGTTTGGGGACCTTGGAACGCAGACAGGCTCTGCCGCTTTTTATTACATCCTCTTTTCCTTCCTCTTTTAGTAGAAGGCTATAAAATGGGGTGTGGTATCGGCCCAGCCTTGACTTCCTTCAATTCACCATAACCAATTTCCTAGGAAAATGTCAACACTCCCTTGTATTATAGACTGTCAGAGTTTAAATTGAACAAGCCTGTTCCGAAGCATTAGAAGAGCAAGCGATGAGGTCTGAACTATTTAAAAATGTCATTTTCATCACCATTCCTTTTCCGGATTCTGGATTCCAGATGAAGAAGCTTGTGCTTGCCCACTGCTTATAAAGTTGAGTCGAAGTATTCAGTAACCATATTTCCCAACAGTAATTCCCCTGATAATTTACGGCTATGTGAAAGTTTTATGGAAGAAAGGATGCATAACAAAGAAAGGAATTTTGTTTTGTTTTTTACAAGAAAGAAGTGACAGAATTCCTCTGGGTAGGGCATGGGAGGGCTCACACGATTTATGTTACAGATCTTAATTTGAATATTCTTAGGAAAAGATGTTATTCTTGCTGTCATTCTCTGAAGCAGAGAATGATAAAAAGCCTTGAGAATCCACTTCTTAAAAATGGTCCAGGGTCATTTTAAGCAAGCAAAGATAGCTTGAAAGCGCTTGATCGGTGCTCCTTGAAACTTTTTCAGAACATCAGGCCCTTTTTCATTCTTGTGCTTTGCTCTTCTTTGCCCCTCCCCGTGGGACTGATCATGGGTGGTGTGTGCTGTGATGAACTCTCTCCAGATATTGTTGCATAATGCAATTAGGGTTGTAATGAACTCCGGAGAAGAAGCTGTTTTGATAATCTCAAGCCTACTGTCACTGATACTCACCCCTTCAAAGACTACAGCTGTATTCCAGAGATGCTTTAACCCCCCAAAAGCCAGCACAGTGTCCTGAATGTTGCCTTTTTCTCCACCCAGCTCTTTCTTAAAGGAAACCCCTTTTTTGGCAGAAGAACACACAACCATCGTGTTTGCTCTGGGTGGTGTGCAAAACGTTTGAGTGACTTCAAATTCAACAGGCCACACTTTCAAGTCTGAGACCATTCATTAGGTTGCAGAATGCCCGCTTTCATTCCCAAAATAATAATAAACAGCTGCCTCAAACACGGGACTGCTATTTTGAACCTTTAAAACAAATGTTTTCAAGTAAAAGTGAGATTTTTTTTTTCCCCTACCGAATAACAGAATTGGAAAGGCCTTGGAGCTCTTCTAATCCAACCCCCTGCTCAAGCAAGAGACCCTATGCCAGTGATGGCGAACCTTTTAGAGAGCGAGTGCCCAAACTGCAACCCAAAACCCACTTATGCATCGTCGGGTGCCGGGTGAGTGTGGCCCATTGGGTGGGTGTGGCCCACTGGGTGGGCGTGGAAGCAGTGGTAACGGCAAACTGGGTGGGACTAAAAAGTTCAATCAATCAATTCCAACTTTGCAAGATCCTTTTTTTTTTCAGCGAGAAGTTGAAATTGACTGATTGATTGAACCTTTTTTTTTTTTTGCGCACGGCGGCGGAGGCCTAAAGCGAAAAGGTTTAATAATACCCAGCTGAAGGCCTAGGACTGGGGCGACGGCACGCGTGCCCACAGAAAGGGCTCTGAGTGCCGCCTCTGGCACCCGTGCCATAGGTTCACCACCACGGCCCTATGCCATTTCAGACAAATAGCTGTCTAATCTCTTCTTTAAAATGTCCAGTGATGGCCCAGCCATTAAGAATGTCCACCCCAAACAAATAACTTTGGGTTGTCCTATACCCGTGGTGGTAAACCTATGGCACGAGTGCCACAGGTGGCACTCAGAGCCCTCTCTGTGGGCACACGCGCCATCGCCCCAGTCCTAGGCCTTCAGCTGGGTTTTATAAAACCTTTTCGCTTTAGGCCTCCGCCGCCGTGTGCAAAAAAAAAAGGTTCAATCAATCAATTTCAACTTCTCGCAGGGAAAAAAAAGATCTCTCAAAGTTGGAATTGATTGATTAAACTTTTTAGTCCCACCCAATCTGCCGTTACCACGGCGGCCACGCCACCCAATGGGCCACACCCACCCAATGGGTCATGCCCACCCAGCACCCGATGATACATAAGTGGGTTTTGGGTTGCAGTTTGGGCACTCGGTCTCTAAAAGGTTCACCATCACTGTCCTATACTCACTTTAACTGGGCTCAGTGGTTAAAGGCACTGAGCTTCTCAGCTGGAAAGCCGACAGCCCAGATTCAAGATCTGAGCACTGCGCGATGGGACGAGCTCCCGTTCCTTGCCCCAACTCCTAGCAGTTCAAAAGCATGCAAATGTGAGTAGATAAATAGTTACCATTTCAGCGAGAAGATAGTGTGCCATGTGCCTCAGCATATAGTTCTGCTGGCCACATGGCCACCGAAATGTCTTCAGACAATGCTGGCTCCCTTGGCTAAGACACGGAGATGGGCATTGTCCCTTAGAGCCGGACATGACTGGATGTTGTTGTTAGTTGCGAAGTCGTGTCCGACCCATCGCAACCCCATGGACAACATTCCTCCAGGCCTTCCTGTCCTCTACCATCTTCTGGAGTTCATTTAAGCTCACGCCTCCTGCTTCCGTGACTCCATCCAGCCACCTCATTCTCTGTCGTCCCCTTCTTCTATTGCCCTCAATCTTTCCCAGCATTAGGCTCTTCTCCAGGGAGTCCTTCCTTCTCATTAGGTGGCCAAAGTATTTGAGTTTCAACTTCAGGATCTGGCCTTCTAAAGAGCAGTCAGGGTTGATCTCCTCTAGAACTGACCGGTTCGATTGCCTTGCAGTTCAGGGGACTCGCAGGAGTCTTCTCCAGCACCAGAGTTCAAAGGCCTCCATTCTTTATGACTGAATAGGGTAAACCTTTACCTTTATACCCACTTTAAACTTTCCCAAACTAGATGAGATCAACTCCCCTGGATTCAGATGGTCTCTAAAGATCCCAAACTAATGTCTGGATGCAGGAGTGGGTCAAGGTCAGGAAAGGAGACTGAATCTTGGGGTAGTGTTTGGTTGGAAGGAAATGAATAGCTTGGCTTTTCAGAACTGAGTAGGGCTCCTTCTGATGGATAAGTGGCATCGCTCAAGAGTGGCACAGAATTAGCCCCAGCAATGAAGGCACCTTTCATAATTCTTGTGGGGTCTTTGGTGCTCTCCGAGCTTGGTTGTTTTCTTGCAGACGTTTCATTACCCACCTAGGTGACATTATCAGTGCAAGAAGGGAGTGGGGTTTGCTCTGATTCAGGCTGTTTTGGGAAGACCTGACCTGTCTTATGTCACTCTTAATTGCAGGTCCATCTCCCATTTGCCGTGGTTGGCAGCACCGAAGAAGTGAAGATTGGCAATAAAATGGCCAAGGCTAGACAATATCCATGGGGAGTGGTCCAAGGTATGCTGATAGGAACAGATAAAATCTTTAAAGGAGAAGATTTGTAGCTCAGGGGTTGAAATGAGGGGTCCTTGGTGGTCTCAGCTTGGTTTTTTTCCTTGCAGACATCTCATTACCCAAACTAGGTATCATTATCAGCACAGATGATGTTACCTAGTTTGGGTAATGAAACATCTGCAGGAAAGCAACCAGGTTCAGAGAGCACCATAAAGCCCTCAGATAACCTTTATATGTTTTATATCAATGGTGCAAAAAAATTTAAATTCGGATTGGCAGCTGTCAGCTACAGAAGCAATTTCTTGAGTCAGCAGGAAACCAAAAGAACAGATGTGAAGATTGTGGCTGAGATCTGGAGAACTGTATCTGATGGATACCAAGAAAGTTTGTCCCTGTAGGTTTCAGTCATAGCACATAGGGGGGTTCTGATGAGATTTTAATTAGATTATTTTGCCTTTATTGTTAATGAAAGAATTATTAATTGAGATGAATCTAAATTCAGTAAAATAATTAAGGTGACTCTTTAGTACATTAATCATGACGGACACAAATACAGTCAATTTATATCTGAATAATAGAAGAGAGTGACCAATCAATGTCCCAAAGATGCTTTTTTCCAAAGGCAACCGGACTTTGCTTTTCTTGAAGACATTTTGCTTCTCATTCAAGAAGCTTCTTCAGTTATGACTGAATTGAGGAAGGAAGGAAGGAAGGAAGGAAGGAAGGAAGGAAGGAAGGAAGGAAGGAAGGAAGGAAGGAAGGAAGGAAGGAAGGAAGGAAGGAAGGACAAAAGAGAGAGAGAAAGAGAGAAAGAAAAAAGAATGAAAGAAAGAAAGAACAAAGTCCAGTTACTTTTTGAAAAAGCATTTTAGGGACAACCATGACCTGGATGACTGAGAATCTCTATAGATATAAATCTAATACATTATGAATTCTTAGAATATTCCTAAATCATTTCAACATCTGTAAAGCAGAAGAACTCTTCTACCTCCAGAGCTGTTGATTACTAGAATAATGGAAATCAAACAATTTAAGTTCTTAGAAAAAAATTTTTGGGGAGTAATGGAGAAATTAAGGAGATATCATGGCAATAAATCCTGGTTTTGATATTTTTGATGAAAAATATTTTTTTTGTGTTAGGGAAACAAAAAGAAAATCAGGTTTCTGCCATATTTTTGATTTACACTTTCGTATTTTTATGAATTTTATAGTTGAAAACGAAAACCACTGTGATTTTGTGAAGTTGCGCGAAATGCTGATCAGAGTCAACATGGAAGACCTGAGGGAGCAAACTCACAGTCGGCATTATGAGCTCTACCGCCGTTGCAAACTGGAAGAGATGGGGTTCAAAGACACGGATCCTGACAGCAAGCCTTTCAGGTAAGGAAGCAGCAGGTGAGCTTCCAGACTAACTCAGAAAGAGTGGAGTAGAGTAGAGTAGAGTAGAGAATGTGGAATGGAATGGAATGGAATGGAATGGAATAGAATAGAATAGAACAGAACAGAATAGAATAGAATAGAATAGAATAGGAATAGAATAGAAAATATGGAATGGAGTGGAGTAGAATAGAATAGAATAGAATAGAATAGAATAAAATTAGAATAGAATAGAATAGAATAGAATAGAATAGAATAGAATAGAAAATATGGAATAGAATAGAATAATATAGAATAGAATATAGAACAGAACAGAATAGAATAGAATAGAATTCTTTATTGGCCAAGTGTGGTTGGACACACAAGGAATTTGTCTGCAATGCATAAACTCTCAGTGTACATATAGGCAACAGGTGATAAATCATGATCATAAACAAGATAAAATACATTCATCATAAATCATAAGATGCAACACTTAAGTGATAGTCATAGAATACTAGCTAAGCAAACAACATAAACCATGCTAGGATACTAAAAACGATATAAATTGAAGTTATAGTCATAAGATAAGGATAGGTAATAGGAAAGATGAGGAGAATAACAGTATTATAGCTTTACTAAGTAGTTTCACAGTGTTGTAGCAATTAGTTGTTAAGCAAAGTGACGGCATGGCGGAAAAAACTGTCCTTGTGACTAGTTGTTTTAGTGTGCAATGCCCTATAGTGTCGTCTTGAGGAAAGAAGTTGAAATAGTTTATGTCCAGGATGTGAAAGGTCTGTAGATATTTTCACAGCCCTCTTTCTTGCTTGTGCAGTATACGCATCCTCAGCGGAAGGCAGGCTGGTTGCAATTGTTTTTTCTGCAGTTCTAACTATCCGTTGAAGTCTGTGTCTATCTTGTTTGGTTGCAAATCCAAACCAGACAGTTATAGATGTGCTAATGACAGACTCAATAATTCCTTTGTAGAACTGTATTAGCAGCTCCTTGGGCAATCTGAGCTTTTTGAGTTGGCACAGGAAGAACGTTCTTTGTTGTGCTTTTTTGATGACATTTTTGACGTTAGGTGTCCATTTTAAATCTTGAGATATTATAGAACCTAGAAACTTGAAGGTCTCTACTGTTGATAACTGTGTGGTCTAGTATTGTAAGAGGTTGTAGAAGTTTGATGTGTTGCCGGAGCAGGAGCAGAAAACCTTCTCATCTAAGAAGCCAATCCAGGCTAGTAGCTAAGAGAATCCAAATCACCCTATTTTAATCATTGCCTTCAATAATTTAATGCTCAGATGCTCTTAACAGAAGCTAGAAAGCGCAACTAGTTAGTGTTTGTTTAGGCCAAGAGTAGGCAACCTTGTCTCTTTTATGACTCGTGGACTTCAACTCCCAGAATTCCTGAGCCAGCCATGCTGAGGGGAAAGGGAGAGGTTTCCAAGCTGAGCCATGCTGGCTTAGGAATTCTGGGAGTTAAAGTCCATGAGTCATAAAGCGGCCTAGTCCTAGTCCAGGGGTAGGCAACCTTGGCTCTTTTATGACTCGTGGACTTCAACTCCCAGAATTCCTAAGCCAGCTTGGCTCATCTTGGAAACTCTCCCTTTCCCCTCAGCATGGCTGGCTTAGGAATTCTGGGAGTTGAAGTCCACGAGTCATAAAGCAGCCTAGGCCTAGGCCAGAGGTAGGCAACCTTGGCTCTTTTATGACTCGTGGACTTCAACTCCCAGAATTCCTGAGCCAGCACGGCTCAGCACGGCCATCACAGAGAAAGTCCTCCGCGGCCCTGCCAAATGGCACTGCTTGGCCGACGGGACCCGAAGGAGGCCCAGCCTGTGGGATCTAACCGGACGAAGGGAACTATGAGGTACTAGGCGGTCTCGCAAATAGCCTGGCCCTGAGCCATATAGGGCTTTAAAGGTAATAACCAACGCTTGGAAACTCTCCCTTTCCCCTCAGGAATTCTGGGAGTTGAGGTCCATAAGTCATAAAAGAGCCAAGGTTGCCTACCCCTGGTTTTCGCTGAATGAATTTTGCACCACCCTGATTTGTTCTGTGCAGCAGTGGAAACCGCAGTGGAATTTTATATTCTACAAAGTGAGGTTTTTGGCTGTAAAAATCTGTCATTCCCCCCCCCCCCACATCGACATCCTTTCATTTTCATTGCTACATTTTGCACTTCTCTTTCTGCTACAGTGAAACTCTGCACCATATTTTACACTGAGAGTAAGTGGTGCCAGATATCCTGCTCCTCTGTTTCTTCACACTGAATACACAATTTGTTTCCTGCAATGCATATTTTCAGTTTGATGCATTGTGCGAATGAATGAAAGAGTTCAGGTTAAGATTGGCTTTCCCAGCACTTTTCTAAGAAATACTGTAGAATTTTTTTTTTTACAGAATGATTACAGGTAGTCCTTGACCTACAACCATTAAATTTAGAGACTGTTTGAAGTTACAACAGCACTGAAAAAAAGTGAGTTATGACCAGTCCTTTCACTTACAACTATTGCAGCATCCACAAGGTTGAGTGATCAAAATTCAGGGTCCTGGGATCACCATTTGTAACCTTTCCAGCAGCATCCTACGTGCAAAATCAATGGGGGGAGGGAGCCAGACTTACTGAAAAACCACGATTCGCTTAACAACTGCAGTGATTTACTTAACAACTGGGGCAAAAAAACTCATAAAATGGAGTGCAATTCACTTCACAACTGCCTTGCCTAGCAATGGAAATCTGGGGCTTAATTGTGATTGTAAGTCAAGAATTACCTATAGAAGAAATATGTAAGTACTGTTAGGGTACTTACTGAGTACAGGGAAGGAAGGAAGGAAGGAAGGAAGGAAGGAAGGAAGGAAGGAAGGAAGGAAGGAAGGAAGGAAGGAAGGAAGGAAGGAAGGAAAGGAATGAATTATGTCGGTCAAAAATGAATATTCATATAAAATATAGTCTACCGTCTACTTGAACAAGATGCTTTATTGGTTTGCTCTACCAAAACAAAACCTGGGTAGGTTTGCTAAGTGACAGATGATTTTTTTGAATTCCCTTTTACCATTTACTTTGTCTTGTTTTCTTTCTCCTCATCCATGTGGTGAAGCAGTTCCTCGTTACAGTCCTATTTAATGGATCTGGTCTGGAGCCAAACCCTGGTTCCTGTTTCACTGCCACTGTATCTGCCCATGGTTTAATCAGATTCTTATGAGCTTGGTTCCCCCCCCCCAACAGTTCCCACACAATAAACAATATTATGTTCTTTAATTGGGGCAAAGGAATATCTATACCATTCCCTTGGATTCAGTTGCTGACATGCAGCACCAGATACAACTGTCTGATTCCAATTAGATGTATATACATAGTGTTTTATATTTCTTCAGTTATTCAGATAATTGCTGTCTCTTCAGATAAAAATTCCTTATTTCCTTAAATTGGCTGTGTTTATGCACTGTGCAAAATGATAACAGGACGATGGATATGAAAGAGGGTATTGAAGCCAACAGAGCAAGATTTACTGTATGCCCCAGGACTGGAATTCAAATTATTCCAATTAAAATAGGAAGCAACTCTTTTAACAACTACTGTACACATTTAGAATAATAAGTCTGGAGGCATCCATAAATTAAACTAGTTATGCAAATGGCAACTGTGTAAGGTGACGATAAAAGATAGAAATTCACATGTATTATTTTTATTCAATTTCAACTTAATATATATGAGTTCATCCTCCTCCTCTTCCTTAATTCGTATATTAACTAATTTATTATTTTTCCCTTCCTATCACATTAACAATCACTGCGATCTTTGAAGGAATTTGTGAAGCACACCCTCAGATTGTAGGTTTACCGAAATAAATCAAGGTGATCAATTACAGATTTAAGTTCTCTGTGCTGCTAATTTAGTATCACACAAGCCAGTTTGGTGTAGTGGTTAAGACACCAAGCTAGAAACTGAGCTACGATGAGTTCTAGTGTTGTCTTAGGCATGTAAACCATCTGGGTGACTTTGGGCCAATCACCAGGAGACTGTGAGTTCTAATCCCGCCTTAGGCCTGAAAACCAACTGGGTGACTTTGGGCCAATCACCAGGAGACTGTGAGTTCTAGTCCCGCCTTAGGCATGAAAACCATCTGGGTGACTTTGGGCTAATCACCAGGAGACTGTGAGATCTAGTCCCGCCTTAGGCATGAAAACCATCTGGGTGACTTTGGGCCAATCACCAGGAGACTGTGAGTTCTAATCCCGCCTTAGGCCTGAAAACCAACTGGGTGACTTTGGGCCAATCACCAGGAGGCTGTGAGTTCTAGTCCCGCCTTAGGCATGAAAACCATCTGGGTGACTTTGGACCAATCACCAGGAGACTGTGAGATCTAATCCCGCTTTAGGCATGAAAACCAGCTGGGTGACTTTGGCCCAGTCCCTCTCTCTCAGCCCAACCCACCTCATAGGGTTGTTGTTGAGGACAAAATAGGTTTGTTCACTGCTTTGAGTTATTTATGAAATTAATATTAATTAAAAAATAATACAGGGATTAAACAGATCTTGAAAATATTGACTGTAGGTATTCAATTTACAGTCGGTTGCTTAGCAACTCTTTGAAGTTCCGACAGACCTACCTGGGGGGGAGGGTACTTATGATCTGAATTTGAAGAAGTTCCAATGGTCAGTGCCTCTTGTGCCCCCCCACCCTCATCCCTGCAGCCACACAAACATACTTTAGGCTCTTGGCAACTGGACCGCATTTATTTATTTATTTATTTATTTATGAGACTTATATACCGCTTTAAGTGCAAGCACTCTCTAAGCGGTGTACACCAGTAAGCAATGTATATATATATTTACATTGCCCCCAACAATCTGGGTCCTCATTTTACCTACCCCGGAAGGATGGAAGGCTGAGTCAACCTTGAGCCGGTGAGATTTGAACCGCTGACCTGCTGAACACAGTCAGCTAAAGTGGCCTGCAGTACTGCTCTCTAATTGCTGCACCACCTCGGCTCTTAATTTATGGCTGTTTATGGTCACATTTTACATTTTACAACAGTTTTGCAAAACAACAGCATTTACTTCCTGTTTGGGGCAGAACTGCCCACAGCAAATCATTGGCTTCCTTAATAACTGCAGTGTTCGTTTAATAATGAACGAAGAAATGCAGCGGCCGCTATACAACTATCCTGTTTGCTTAACAACTGCTGCAAAAAATGTAAAATTGGGGGGGGGGTCTGACCTGCTTTTCAGCCATCATGAGTTACAACTATGATAGGCAGGCTCCATTACAGTCATAGCTTGAAGGCTATCTATATTTCAATTTTTTTCCCCTGTGACCATCTTGAAAGGCTTGGTATGTTCCTTTTCCGTTGACATTCAGCCATAATTATTTTTTAAAAAAATCATTTATTTATCATTTATCATTTTAAAATTCTTTCACAATAATCACTGCTGGTGTTCAAGGTGGTTCTTTTTTTTTTTCTTCCTTCCTTCACTCCCTCTTCCTCTCATCACTTCCAACCGTTCCCTTTGGGGGTTGTCGTGTTGGAAACAAGCCTGCAAGAAACCTATGAGGCCAAGAGGAATGAATTTCTGGGTGAGCTACAGAAGAAAGAAGAAGAAATGAGGCAAATGTTTGTCATGAGAGTAAAGGAAGAAAGAAGCGGAGCTGAAGGAAGCAGAAAAAGATGTAAGTAGGGGAAAAAGGGAACGAAGGCCAGATGTTAGGTCAGGGGTCTTCAAACTTGGCCCTTTTATGACTTGTGGACTTCAACTCCCAGAATTCCTCAGCCAGGCACAACTGTGCCTGGCTGAGGAATTCTGGGAGTTGAAGTCCACAAGTCATAAAAGGACCAAGTTTGAAGACCCCTGCCTTATAGTCTATATATATTATAACCTTAGCATGGCTAATACAAATAGCTCTTCACTTACAACCTTTCATTTAGTGACCATTTGAAGAGCACTGAAAAAAGTGACATGGTCACTTTTCACACTTACGACCGTTGCAGTATCCCTGTGGTCCCATGATCAAAATTCAGACGCTTGGCTACTGACTCATCTTTATGACCTTTGCAGTGTCCTGGAGTCATGTGACCCTCTTTTGTGAGCTTCTGACAAACAAAAATCAATGGGGATGCCAGATTCCACTTAACTACTTACTAACTAATTCAGCAGCTGCAGACATTCACTTAACAACTGTGGCAAGAACGGCTGTAAAATGGGGCCAAACTCTCTTGACCACCGCCTCACTTAGCAACAAAAGTTTTCGGCTTAATTGTGGTCGTAAGTTGAGGACTACCTGTGCATATTGACTAATTTCCCACCTGAGGTCTTGAATTTCGCAGTATGAGCTATTATGGTCCTCTCTCCCCTACTTCAGTTTTGTTATTATTTCCTTTGTCCAGTAACTGCCTGTCTTCCCTCTTTTGCCCTTCCTTCTGAGCAGCTTCACGAGAAGTTTGACCACCTAAAGAGGACTCACCAAGAGGAGAAGAAGAAGGTGGAAGACAAGAAGAAGGAACTTGAGGAGGAGCTGAACAACTTCCAAAAGAAGAAGGCAGCAGCTCAACTACTACAATCACAGGGTCAACAGGCTGGCTCTCAACCCACCAAGAAGGACAAGGACAAGAAAAAGTAAGCCGTTGTCCAAGGTTCAGCTCTGTGGGCTTCTGTTCCAGTGTGCTGTCTTCTGTTGCATGTCTGTATTTGCTTCTTCCCATTATCAGACTGGAAACTGGGCTCCCCCACTTCTAAACCCAGACTGAATTATTATTATTTTTTTTTAAACACTATTTTTCCAAGCGAAAAGAGGGATGGGGATGGGAGGGAATAGGGCTTTGACTTTTGATATACCTGAAATATTTTTTGACTATTTTTTTTTTCAACGAGACGGGGAAGCAGAGACCAAAAGTCAAGCCAGGAAATGGGCTTTAATATACTGTATTAACAGATTTTTTTTATAACTGACGCAACACCCAATGAGCTGTTGAGCTGTTACTGTCTTCTCTGGTAAAGTTCTTAAAAGTGTTTGCTAATTGTGTAGAGCCCAAAGCAGGAGAGATTGGTGCAGGGGTGGCATCATCTAGGACAGTGGTTCTCAACCTTTTTATATGGCGACCCCGGTCATAAGGACGCGCCGCGCATGTGCAGCGCCCCCCATGCGTGCCGCGCATGCGAGCCCCGCCCATGCGCGGTGCGCATGCGCGGCGGCGCCCCTGAGGGAAAAAAATGGCAGATTGCGTTGTTTGGCGACCCACGTAAAATGGTCATTCGACCCCAAATGGGGTCGCGACCCAAAGGTTGAGAACCGCTGATCTAGGATGTGGTAACTCGGGCGAAGGGTTGGATTCCGGACCTTGGGAAGATGCACTGGATCGCCAAACAAAATTAGAACTACCCAAGTTTACCTTAGCAACAGCTGAGGAAGAGAAAATTAATAGCTGGGGAGGGAAGAAGGGAAGGTGTGATCCTGTCCAGCATCTTAACTATATCTAATTATTGATTTTCTTGTGCCAAAGATTTGAAAAAAAACACACACAAGGAACAATGTTTGTAATATCTCTACCTACATTCTGAACTATCTATACCAGGGATAGGCAACCTTGGCTCTTTTATGACTCGACTTCAACTCCCAGAATTCCTGAGCCAGCATGGCTCAGCTTGGAAACCTCTCCCTTTCCCCTCAGCATGGCTGGCTCAGGAATTCTGGGAGTTGAAGTCCACAAGCCATAAAAGAGCCAAGGTTGCCTACCTCTGGCCTAGGCCGGGGCCGCTTTATGAGTCATGGACTTCAACTCCCAGAATTCCTGAGCCAGCGTGGCTCAGCTTGGAAACTCTCCCTGTCCCCTCAGCATGGCTGGCTCAGAAATTCTGGGAGCTGAAGTCCACGAGTCATAAAAGCCAAGGTTGCCTACCCCTGGTCTATACGGTATTAATTAAATAATGAAGCACAATATTAGGAAACAGCACAACTCTAATCCTATGAGATGGGCTGCCATTTGCACCGTGACACCGATTTGGCGAACAAAACTTGAGGCCTTAGTGACGTGAGAGGGATCCACGTATTTGCTGTGAAGTCTTTGGCTCATTCACGGTGGAAGTGGAACAAAGTCTGGTTAGCAGAATCAGACTGCCCTATGTAGCACGTTGCAAAATTGGATGTACACGGTTAATCATGCCTTTTGCTTGAATATAAGCCTACCTGAAGCCCTGCTGCGATGTTAGTTTCAAAGGAAGATGGAGTAAAGCATAAGTGACCTGATTTTACTCTTACGTTACCCAGGATAACAAGATACTTCCCCTACATTTTCAGTGCTTTTCCCTCATTCTGATAGCCAATGGAGCTTCACTTAGGTTCTTAAGCCAGACTTCTCCATTCCTTAGATCAGAGTTTCTCAACTGTAGCAACTTGAAGATGTGTGGACTTCAACTTCCAGAAATTCTCTGCTAGCATGTTGGCCTAGGGCATTTGGGGAATTGAAGTCCAGTCGCCTTAAATTTGCCAAGGTTGGAAAAAACCTCGATCTTGCTACCTGGATCAGTTCTCAGAATTCTTAGCAATGAACACGCTGGCTAGGAAACTCTGAGAATTGATGTCGAGGCATAATATTCTACGAAGGCATAATCGTCCTGCTTGTGATTGAAGAATCAACAGTTTTGTGGGTGGACATTGGCAACTTAACTTGTCCCAAACAATGTGCTTTTTCAATTTCTTCTTTACGTTTTTTTTTTTGTCCCATTGGTGTGCTCCTGAAAGACAAAAGAATGAAAAAGAACGCCAATCGTAAATCGATCCATCTGCTCTTGATCATATTTTGAAACGGTGAACGGTTTTAAAGGGCAAGAGCATTAAGTGATGCACAAATAGCACCAATAAATGCACATGTATGTATCTATACCAGGGGTCTTCAAATGTGGCCCTTTTATGACTTGTGGACTTCAATTCCCAGAATTCCTCAGCCAGGCACGTGTGCCTGGCTGAGGAATTCTGGGAGTTGAGGTCTACAAGTCATAAAGGGCCACGTTTGAAGACCCCTGATCTATACTCATGACCTTTATAAAGTGAGACTATGAGCATGACTTGAAGGAGCAATCTAATATTCTTGAAATGTCATCTCAAAGAAGATATTTCCTTTGCCACAAGTGGCTTGTCTGAGCTTGCAAGGCGTGGTTACTTAACAACCCATAGCTGAGTTTGGCAACCTGGGTTCACATTCTTTGCTTTTTGAGCCAATGTGGGTACCCACAGAGCGGTAAAGAAAATCAAAATGGCACGCATAACGTTGCAAGCAAAGCAACATTTTTTTTTTTTTACATTTGCACCTGAAAAGCAGACAGGACTTTGATCATTGGTAGTTGTGACTGCCATCTTGACTTTATGTCCTCCCTGCGGACATTCCACCTAGTAGCCATCCAGGAAGCAGCATTGAGGTTAAGAAAACATTTGGATCAGAAGACTGTAGCTGCCTAGTTTCCAACTTCCGTTGGTCAATTGAAAAGCATTTTCGTATCCATTCCATTCTTCTCTCTTAAGAGTCCCCAAAATGAATTAGGTTTTCTTCCTACCATATCTAGAATGTAATTAGGTGGTATCTTTAAGGATTAGAAACTTTCCTAAGACAATTATAAACGTTTGTGGCTAGATAACATTTTTTTTTCAAAACTGTATAATACTTCTTTGTACAGATATATATAAAGGGAGCCAGAATTGTTTTGCCAAATACTTTGAAGTACAAAGGATGCTAGCTAATTGGTGACATTTCTATAAAATGTCAATAACTTCCAAGGTAATATAATACTTCCTTCATTTGTTGATTTAAATTCCCTGGAAGCTTATTCTGCAAAAAAAAAAAAAAGTATATGGTATTTAACAAGATATGATGCTTTGTTTTTCCTGGGGCAGACTGCTCTCTGCTGTTAGGAGCCTTCAAAATTGCAAACTGTATAAGGAAGAAAACAAAATTTGTATTGATAGCATCCTTTCCTAAGGAGCAGCGATGAATGTGTAGACGTGAACATTAACAATTTTTTAAATGAAGGATTCTATTTTTGATAACGGCTGTATGTCAATGGCCATGTGCAAACGTACACACTGGAGCAGTGTGCAAGAGGTGTTGAACTTTTACCTTTATAGATTATGATTGTTGTCAAATGAAGGACTCTTGGGTGGCACCGATTCTCAAGGAAGAAGCTGTGCATTTGTGTATGTACACATACAGCAGTGTGCAAAACCTTTTGAATTTCCACGCTGCTGGTATGGACCGAAAAGGGCTGGAACACTTCCAGTGAAGTCAGAGTAATCGATATAAACATTATCTCTGATTTACATCGATTATGTTTTTTTTTTGGATTGATGTATTTATGGGGAAATCCCAGGTTTTATTTGCAAATAAAGAATTTAACACAGGAGATTGTTTCAGTCTGAAAATCATTGCCACAATATTGCATGATTTCAGCCTACATTCCGATGTGTTCTGTTTGCAACTTCTAAACTTCCCAGCCATTGTGGGTGACAATTCTGGGAGTTTCTTTCATTTCCAGCACATCTGGAGAAAAATGCCAAGGAAACAGCAGTATCTCATTTCAACTTAGATCCTTTTAGTCTTGTTTTCAATGCCATCTCTCTCCCCCCCCCCATTGCATACAATCCATCCGGAACCTACTGGAACAAATGGAAGGTGTGTTAAGGGCATGAGAAAGCTCGAACATCCATTCTGTTCACTGAGACTTATGAAGGAGAATCACTTGCTAGATCAGTGGTTCTCAACCTTTTTAATGCCGCGCCCCCCCCCAAACCGGTCGTAAGTCGAGGACTACTCAACCGGTCGTAAGTCGAGGACTACTCAACTGGTGCAGCACCGTTTGCAGAATGGGACTTTTGGCGGGCTCAGCAGGGCAGAGACAGCCTGGACAATTCCTATTGGCTTTTGAAAGCCAATAGAATTAGACTCTATTCAAGAGAGTCTATTCTATTGGCTTTCAAAAGCCAATAGAATAAAAGGGAGTAGCACAGCTAAGGAAAAGGGGAAAAAATGGCGGATTGCGTTGTTTGGCGACCCCCGTGAAATGGTCGTTCGACCCCAAATGGGGTCCCGACCCACAGGTTGAGAACCACTGTGCTAGATTAAAGTCGAGGTCTTGAAAAAACGTTAGCATTCCAGCAGCTCTCTGATTTTTAAATTGGAGCACTTACACACCCCCTGGATATTGTTTTCTGGGATTTTGATGCTCTGTTCTCCCAATTCATATCCATGAGGTCATTGTAGTTCTTCACTAAGACTCAAAACATGAAGTTTGACTCCTTGTGGCTTCATACTTGTATTCTTGATAGCGCTATGAAAGTGTTTTCCGCTACCTTCTTGGCATGTTATTTTGACTTCTCATTCTGACCAACATCCCTGAGATTCCATCATGGTCTCTGGTCTAAGGACAAACCATGTTGAAGCTTATGAGGTCTTCACTAATTTTGTAAGCTCGGAGCCACCTCCGTACACTTACATCTAATCTTCCAGAGCTGAAAATAGCCAGTGTAATATTTCTGTGGTTCCTTCATAACTCAGATCGAGCTGAGTGTTCCAATAGTTCATTTTTTATACAAGATTGTTGTCAGATATCAAAGCAAACATTTTTTTCTC